TAGATGAATAAGACAAGAAATATCGAAGGCATGGTAACAAGTCGATATAGGTTATGTGAAGATGAATGCCGAATGCGGTTACTAGCCTAGATCGAGAATTCCGGAACAAAGGAGAGGAGATCTATGATTAAGATAACTGAGTTCCCATTTAAAGTGTTCTTCTGAAGTTAAAAATACTTGAGATGTATCGGGACAAGCAGAAACAAATTGGAGGGAAGGTTGAATTAACTCAAATTAGGATATCGCACAAGGAAATAGATGTATTAATCAAAAGGAGAAAAAGAGAAATACCACAGCTGTTTAAATAAAATTGGTCAAGAATGCTAACTTTTTTGGTTGAATTATTACTTAAACTATCGAAAATCTCGCATAATGAAAATAAATCAAGCTTGAGATCGCCACGTAAATATATACATGGTTAATTAAATAGAATGCATAGGACTTAAAGATAGAAAATAGCTTACTTATTAGATCCATAGACTGGTAAAGAGATTATGGACGCTTAATTAGAAATTAATGAGAAAGGCTCAGTTTAAGTGGTTACATATCAACCTGCAGCTATATGAGGAATAAACAAAATTATAAACATATAAAACGCAAAACCAGACCTAGAAATAACGATATATATTATATAAAGAGTATCTAAGGGCTTGCCTCGGGATCAATATATGCGGCTTCCGTGTCATTTTCGAGTCGAGCTAAACGAATAAATGACTTTGATGAAGCTTCAGAAATAAGGATATTCGAAGATAGTTCAGAAGAACGAGACTGACTGTTCATATTAAGCTGCCAATTGTTAGTAAGTAAATCATCCCCGCTGTAAATTTTTGATTTGATAGGAGTATGGAGTCGAGATAATTCTTCAGGTGGAGAAATATCTTTACAAAGCTCCTCATTAAATGATAAATTATTTGAATGTAGTCTATTTTTATGCGAGGCACTGGCACGTCTGGCAAAGGCTGATCGCCTATCAACAACTAAGGCAGCTTTACTGGAGACAGAGGCATGAGAGGATAAAGAATATAGTATAGTTGCAGGAGTCCAGGTTATTTGTCGGCCATTCTCAGTCACCAAAAATCTGCCGTGGGAACCGGTAATTTCAATCCGAAGTTCAAAGAGACTTGAACTGTCTGCTAGCTGCATCGATTCGACCCCAGTAACGGGTTTGGATGTCGACAACTGAACAGGAGAAGCCATGCAGATAACTAGAATTGGACTTCGTTCCTCAGTAAAATTATTAGAAAAGGAATCTACTTCTAACTCGCTCGTAATATGCATATAGTCTTCGGCATAAATACGGCGGAAAGAAGCCATTCGAGGATTGAGTCGAGGATTAAAAGTCCTAGAAATACAGTTTACGGTAGCCATACGTAATTTTCCAGCTAATATGTGGGCGATATCTATCAGGCCAGCACCATAAAGATTAAGTAATCCACCTCCCATAGCCCCAGCTTCACACCACCAAGAGTATTCGCTCAATTGACCGACATGCGGACATCGTAATTGAATACTCATAAATTGAAGCTCGCCTAGAATCCAATGACTAGGTAGCCCGTTTATGCTAGACCGTTTTTTACGCATAAATGTATTGGGCAAGTTAGTACCTTGAAGGCGATTGGACATGCGTTCTTGAGCAAGATGTAGGCAGAGTAGCTGAATAGATGGTAATGAACGTAATGGAAAAGCAATTCCAACTGGGTTTAACAGTCTTCCTGACACGAATTGAAATGGAATATCCGGCCCAATAGGTGGACAAAGGATAATCGAAGGAGATGAGGACTTGTCATTTGGTATTGAACGTGAATCATAGGCGGTCGCAACGCTTGATAGGATTTGTTGCTGCATCTAAAGGGAAGTTAATAAAAA